AGAGATATTTTACTTCTGAGCAAATATTGAGCACGAGCAAGAGATTCAGATCCTTGTGACACTTTGTTCTTCTCAAAACCAATCTTTGCAATTGCACACTTCAAGAAAGCACCTATGATAAGAAGAGGAGGCATAACAAAGCTCCTATAGAAGTTGTTATATGTTCTTAACCTCTTTACTAATCAATCTTACCTCAGCTAGTGCCATAGACAGAAGCAAATCATGAATATATGACTTAGCATCTGGATGCTGAAGAGCTGCCCGGCCAATATCCAGCACAAGTTTCTCCTCCCCAACCTGAACCAGACTAATCTCTATCATCTCTATTTTCTATAACCAAATATTCCAACCAGAACGAACAAAAATTGCATAAAGAGAAAGAATAAAAACATTCCACATCAACCTTAAAGATTATATGAGATAATTGTATCCAAAAGCCACAAAATAACACCCTAGATTTGAGTTTAGCAGCAGGTTATCTGGTCCTTGAAGTCCAAGACAGAACTACTTTGTTAGGTGTGGTATGCAGAACGTGATCTTAAACCACACCTTAAAACTTCTGTAAAACTTTTACCTCTTGAAGAAGGCAGAGGGCACCAGGCAACCAAGCCCAGGGGATTCTAAGAGGAGATTTAGGAGGGATCTTTTCCTTTGGGTTCCCAGCGTATTCTGGTTCAAAGAGGAGCTTATCCCTCACATCCATTAGAAGCTCCTGCAAAATAAAAGAGAGTAAATATTTGAGGCAGTAACTTAGGAAGACATGGAAGCCATTTCAACTGTTACTGCATCAAATAAAAAAGAACAGAAAAAGAAAGGTCGAGAATCAAGCAAAACTACAACCAAATTTATACTTCCAAGTTACCTGGCGTGACAGAACAGCATCCATGGTGTAACCTTCCTCAACCTCAGCCCTTTTCAAATCCATAACTGACTTAACAATTTCATCTTTCTCAGCTTGATCAGAGACACCAATAAGCTGCAAAAGATAATATTGACATATGAGTTGTTAACATAAACAGCAAAAGGTTTTCAAATTCCAGTTACTTTTTATATGAATCTTCTTAAACAACTCAACTTGTAAACAGACAGACTTCAAAGAAATAAGTAAAATATCCATAAAGAAATTATGATACTAGTTTCTATGAGAAGATACACAGGCTACCAGCATGACTCAAACACGGTATGTCCAACTCCGTAAAACTAGAATGGCAAGTTAGAAAGACAAGCAAAAGCTGGAACAATTTTCAGCCCTCCAAAACAACTTGCAATGGCCTACCACCAAAAAAAAGCCAGGAAACAATTTCAGAACTTTCTATTTTATTTTACTACCTAACTTGTCGTTGTATTAATAAAGGATATGATTAACTAATGTGACTAAAAAACTAGAAAATATGAATAACAACGAAAAGCTAGAAACTTCTCTATTCTCTATGATGAATGATGAAAAATTATTGGTTCATGTCTGCATTGTGGTACTAGTGTGAATAAAAAGCTAAATAGAAACATCACAAAAACCATGATGAATAATGAATCTGCAACATGATCTTTCCGATATCTTCTCTAGTAAACTTGAGCATAAATATACACCTTAAAGAAAAAGAGAATGAAGAAATTTATGAAATCTTATAGGATAGAATCCACTGTGCTTCTCTTCAGGAAAACAAGCATTATTTAAATAATACAAAGAAAACCCATACGCTAAAATGATATAACTACAAGAAAACAACACAAAAGATGTTGTATCTTAAAAACCCAAAAATATCAGTTTAAAGCTTCTATTTCTAGCTATGACTAATTTATCTACTTCCAAAATTAAGCAAATTGGAAAAGCCCCTAGCAGCTCCAGCCATTCCTTCACAAAATATCAGAACTCCACAATGCCAGATAGTGAGCTATCAGAAAGCAGGTGAAGATGGACATGGTACTGCACTTCACATTATAAACCCAAATGATTTTCAAATAGCAATCTGTATAGAGACAATTGCACTGCTTTTACTGTATAGAAATAATTCAACTGCATTTTTCACTTTGATGCTTGTTCAAATGAAGTACGATGGATTCCCCAAAATATGAAATTGGTTGCCATAATACTATTTTATGAACGAGCAGGGAGCATACATACCCAGAGGATTGGTTATACCACTAGAAACAAAATCTTGACAGGAAAACATTGCAGGTAGATCTTTTCCGATAAACAGTCTAACACTCATTACACTTTAAAATTATATATATATATATATATAACGACTTTAAGAGAGAAAATAATTGCGTGTCAAAGTAAAGACCATGAGAATGCATCAGCAAATTTAAGCCATGTGCCTGAACACATAATTCATAAGCTACCTTTCCTCAGAGAAAATAACATTGTAAAATACAGTACCCTTTCCCAAACATATAACAGACAAAAACAATGACAAAATTCTGAATCACACTAAATGATCCCCGCAATTTCACGAAATCATTTCTAACAAAGACATAGGCTCGCGGGCACAAATAAGCGGTGTGCACGATGATGGTATATAACATCACAGAAAAATCAAGAACGGACCTGGTAACAATTAACAGGTATTTCGACGGTACTGAGTCTAGAGGGCGCACTGTCTACAATGCGAGTACCTGCGGCGGCCTTCAGCCTCCATCGGCCATCAGCAAAACGCATGTCCCGCAAACAAGGCCAATCACAAACCCTAGAGATGCGAGATTCAGATGAGTTCGTTTGTGCTGTGAAGCTTAATAACGAAACATCACTCGAGTTTTGGCTTGGGAAGTTAGTAACGGTTTTATTATAAAAGCTTCCACAAAGCAAACACGAAGAAGAAGATAAAAGCAGTATCCCGTTAGTCAGCGACATGGCGGCCTGAACACTAAGAACAGGATCGATGAGTCCTTTTCAATCCCTCTCCATTGGATTTAACGCCGAGAAGAGGAATTCGACAACTGCTCTCCGCTTACCTCTGTTCCCGGATTTTTTATTTGATTCTTACTCGCATAGAATGCCAAAATTAAAAAAAAAATTAAAAATAAAAATAAAATACAGATTTAAGTCGAAGTTTGAGTCTTATGTTTATTTTGTTTTAAAAAATAAAAAATAAATAAATTAGTGAAAAAAATAAGACATGATAACTATATCCCTATTGTGTAACTATAATTTTTTATTTCTAAATAAAGAAACTAAAGAGAAACAAATAGTCTAAAAATAGTTTTAATTATTTTTTTATAACTAATTATTTTATTTTTTATGAAGCTAAATTAAATAAAATACTACATCACTCTTTTCATTTTCTTCATTAGCAATCTTTTTGTTTACTTTTTCCAGTTCTAGTTATTTAGAAAAAAAAATGTTCATTATATTCATTTTATTTACTTATGATTTTCTTTGGGGGCTAATTTTAAATCTATAATAATATGACAACATGTAATTGATAAATTTGATAAAGAATGAGTATTTTCGAAGAAAATTAGTTATTTATCTATTGGAGTTTAAGTGACGTTAGTTAAAGTTGTATATGTACATATCATAATATTTTATATGTTATTGATGAAGATATTAGTGGGATTAGTAATAGAGTAGAGGCTTTAAGTAAGAAATTCAACTAGACAAATACTATAGATAAAAGAAAAGTTCATTTTGTATCATAGGATATCATTTGTTTATTATAAGAATGGTTAGTTTAGGAAGTATCTTAGAAATGAACTAAGCAATATTAAATAAATAGATACATAATTTTGGGAATAATGTGAATGCATATTGGAGAAGAATTATTTGCGATATTCATAGACATGGTTATGATAGGTTTTTTTTTTTCTAGGGAAAGTCTACCGAGAGGAACATTAGGTTCACAAAAGAATCACTAAAAGTAGCTTAAAGCAATGTGAAAAAGGGTTTAATAGGAAATATCATTTTAGATTATATGAACAATGATAAATAATTACTTTTTAAAATAATGTTTGAGTGGGAGATTATACCTTAAAAGGTATGTAGAGCTTGGGATGGATTACATAGAATTAGAATATTGGGCTTAGGAAGGACGTGTTTTTGGTGGAATTTTGAAATATAAAATGAGATTTATTATGTCATGAGGAAGACAAAGCTATACAGAGTTTAATATGCTTGCTTAGGGTGGTAGGACATAGTGTAGGTAGATCAAAGATTAATCCCCTCTTTAATATAAAGATCTATATATAAAAAAAAAAAAGTTATGAGGATCTAAGGAGCAGAAAAAGATGAGGATAGTTAAAATTTTCTATCTAGTAGTTTAAATAATTTAATTAGAGAGAAAAAAGAGAATTTTTAAACAAAAATCAATAGAACAATTTAGAGTAATTGATCTAATTAAAATAAAATTGATATATCTTCTTAGTATGAGTAACTTTCTTTTTTTAGTAATATTGTCATCTTTATCACAGATTTATCTATATATCACAATAAAAAAAGAGGTATAAGATTGAACAAATATGAGAGACTAGCAGTTGTATCGTAAAAATTTAATGTTTGATAGACCATCTTTTGGCATTTATTGGGATAAGAGGTGAGATAAGGAAGTTGAATTGGTAGCAATAGAAAAGACACTATCTATGGTAGTTAATAACCCTATTGACAAAGTAGAAGCATTTAACATAAAAACATTTAAATTGTATATTCTTTTAGGTTATGAGATATTTTTTGTGGAAATTAAATATGGTGATAATAAAATAATAAATTGGAAAATGAAGTTAGTAGAGAAATCTTTTAAGAATAGATAGAGAGAAATGAGTTAGTAACAACTTGAGTATGTAGTTTATTATGCTTAGATTCCTTGTTGTATGTAGTTTTTTACTTTTAAATGCACTATTAGTTTTCTCCTCACATGTATGAGTTTTGAAATTATTTATTATAAAAAATTGAGAGTAATGTGTGTAGCGCCCGGGGAAATTGAAGAAGAAGAGAAAAAAAAAAAAAACGTGTGTGCCACGTCAGCAGCCACGTCAGCAGACCCAGTCAGCAGTCCTGGCCAACCAGGACCTGCCACGTGGCAAAACCACGTCGACCGGGGACGGGCCACGTTGGCGATCTGCGTGCGCGCGATCGGACGGTCCAGATCAATCGCGCGCACGGACAGTCCAGATTTAATCGCACGGACGGCCCAAATTTAATCAAAAACGGACGGCCCAGATTAAATCAAAATGGACGG